GCCTGCGCCTTTGTTTCCCGCCCCGGGGATGCTGACGTCGGGCCCCCTCCCCAGGTAAACGTGAGGGTGGTGGGGCGGGGGCGTCACAGCGCCGGACCTGGGCTGGGACCCGGCAGATGATGGCTTTAATGCAGCAGGACCTGTCATGTGGGGACGAAGAGAAAAATGTAGTGTCACTTTGGCCAAGCCACGGGATTCGAACTGATCCGGCGGCGAGAGAAGCCGAATTCCTCGCGCAGCTGTGCGGGCGGGGGTGGGGGCATGACCGCCGGGCCGACCCCCGATGCTCCCCGTAGAAAGCTGCCCTGGGCCTGGCCGCGAGCTCTCACCCCAAAGTTAAGACGAAATTGAACGCTTTCAGCTTGTCTAAGGAATCCAGAGGTTCGTTAAGAGATGGAAAAAAAATGTCTTAAAAGCAGCTGGGCACTGGTGGAGCAGTCTAAATGAGAGGCTACACTGAGGAATTACAGGTCCAGTGAAACTGATTGGTAAATTGTGAGGGAAATGTCTGCAGTGAACTGCAGACCCGACCATTGTATTAAGATTCTTTTCAAGAAGATAGAAATTTTGTTGGGGGACTGGGGGTGGTGGTCTCTATAAACTGAGTTTTTTCTGGGCTGAAGCTGTGTGTATGTGTGTGGTGTGGCAGGAGGGTATGTCTCCTTTAAGTCATACTTGAAAAGGGGCCTGTGTGTAAGGCATCCCCTGCCTCTTCTCCATTTCCCCAGATCTGCAAAATAGCAAGGGCATAATGTACATCTTATAATGAAATATAGAAATCACTTCAGTTTTCCTGTGGTTAACTAATTTGTTAAATGAATCTGGTAGTCTCCCTGTTAAGAAATGATTCAACCATCACTACAAAGATTTTACTGTATTCTGGAGTTTTACTGTAATCCATTTAGAAGGTATTCTGGTATCAAATGGGTAAGAATTTCTACCTGATTTCTCTGAAACATCTTGTACCACTTCAAGGCCCTTTTATTACTCTTATCTTCCACATACAAAGTTTTGTTTCTTTAGGAAACAGCATAATTTTTCAAACATCTAAGAAACACTTCATGCCTGTGAAATGCCTACGTTTGCTAAGAAACCAATTAATTTGGCAAGTTAAAGCAAGTCGGAAAGGGAACTCTTATTTAAATTTGTTAGGGAGATTCAGAGCTAACAGTTATCAGCTGCAACAAATCTACTTGTGGTTTTCTGAGGTGAATGAAAGTAAAAGTTACTGCAAAGCTTTTTGGGAATATAACAAACGACCCTAGTAAAGTGAAGTAGTGGTTGTAATCTGCTATATTGGAGCTTGAAGCGAATTAGTGGGAACAATTTAAAACTGTCAATCTTTTTTTTGGTGGTATGGGACGAACGAATCTGAGGGTTGGGGTAAGTGATACAGTTTGAAAAGGCATATGTTTTGATATTTAGAGAGAAAAATGTCATTTTTGTTAATGTAAACTACACAGAGGGCATACAGTGTTTATGTTTAGCCTGTGGAAGGGAGGCAGGGGTTTTGAAAGGTCGAGTGAGAAACACTTATTAGGTTACCCAAGGGAAAAGAGGAATATTGGCAGGCTCAGTTCATTGTGAGGGGAGCAATGTACCTCAGTGACCTACAGGACAAGATTTTATTTTTTGATTCAATAAAAGCCCACTAGGGTTGTTTCCAAAGCAATGACAAAACCACTTCCTTTCTGTCATTTCTGTCCCCTGGGTCAGGGACACAGAGGATGGGGAGTGAATGAGAGAGATTGGAGCTCGACCTGCATGCCAAAGCAGTAGTGTCCTTTGAGCAGGGTCTGTGTCACATTGTGTAAATATAAGAGCCTTCACATTGAGCACCTTGCCTAGGACACATGCTGTAAGATAGAAGGGGATAACATTGCCACAACATTAACAAGATAGAGGGGGACAAGCAAGAGATCTTCAGACAGAGAAGCACTGGGGAAAAAGGGTCAGGAAATGTTTTATTTAGTGGGGCTCTCTCTGCTGCTTGCCTTTGGAGCCTTCAGGAGGCATTTCCAGACAGAGCTGTCTCATTATTGGTTAGCCTGGCTGGGCTTTATATGGTTTCCAGAGGGCTTGTCCTTCATGACTAAGACTCCTGTGGAGGTTACATGTGTCAGGTTGTAAGCATCAATTATGCTTGTGTTATGCTGTACAAAAGAAAAGCTCATAAAGACAGACATCTAGGCTGCCATTCTTTCAGGTCCTTCGCTCATGTCAGTCACAGGCTTCCAGAAAACAAGTTGTGCCCTCCCTACCGGTAGATGGCGCTGCTGTTTCTGGGAATTCCTGGAGGAGATGAACTAAGGAGCTGGCCAACCAGCGGTGTATAACCTCTAGTCTAGAAGACTTTGAAAGGCTGTGTCAGCTCCCAAAGAGAATCTGAAAAAAAAAAGGAAAAAAGTTCTAAAATCCAGAACTGTTTATCTAAGGTAGGAATAATATGTGTTGTGGGGATTGAGGAATGGTTGTGACTCCTTTGCTTGCTGTGTGTAAGGGAGAAGGCAAGAGGGTAAACCGACAAGCATATAGCACAGGTTTTGAAAGTACTCAGCGTATATGTTGTTGGTTAATTGAACATAAGGTTGAAATCATGTAATTGAAATTCCCAACTTCATAGTTTCTAATTCTTTGTATCTAAATCTAGCCTAGACATGGATGGGGCTGTGGAATATAAGTATGACTTTTAAACCTGATCAGTATCCAATAATTACATGCTCTGAAGATAGTGGTGAGAGTATTAGGAAAAATAATGCTAGTTAAGTAATTACTGTACTTTAGGGCTGTCCACAGAAAGTGACTCAAAGTTATTTTTAATCAGTTCTTCTAAAAACGGAAAATTCCCAACAAGTATATTGAGATTTTCTTAGCTAATGCTGTCCTTTCAAGATTGTATTAATCCAAATCTTGAACTTTGGTTTGTTGACCTAATTAGCTAGGGTTCATTCATCCATTCCCTTCTTTTGAAATAGCTGTTCTCTGTTATTGATTGTTGTTTTGAGGTAGATTTTGTACCATGATATTTGAGGGAGGTGGGTGCTGTTTCCAGTGAGATTATAGTGTGTATGCGGGCCTCAAGTTTTGACTCTGCTGGAGGTAAAGGACGCTGCCTCTGGGTGTCATTACCCAGGTCACCTGCTTCCTCATGCGGTTCCCATTTCATGGCTCAGCTTATTTGAGGTTTATTTCTGTCTCTCTTCAAGTGAACTGATGAGCTAGTTTTTACTACTGAGAATCTTTACTGCTGAGAATCTTAAAATCCTGCTGGTGCTGATGGCAGTAGTCACAACAGCCCATTAACATTGCCTCTTTATGTGACCTCAAGAGAAGCTCTTTGCCTTTCTTTCTGAACCTGTTTTCTAGCCTGGTCCCTGGAATTGCTGAGGTAGTACATTTCTCTTACAATCCCTTCCAACTCTAAAATTCTCTAACTAGGTGATTCTCATAAGGTATTTTGAAAGCCTCTGACAAGGTCTCATCAGAAGGTATTTTCATACTGTGAGCCTAGGGCAAAAAGAAATCTCAATAATATTTCTTCCCAGAGAAGTGATTGTGCATTGTCTTAGAATCCTAGTAATTGAGAGTTGGAAAAAACCCTAGGAGATGTTTTAACTCATTTTTAAAATTTTAATGGACAGGGAATTTTTTTTAGTTTTATACAGGGAATTTCAATTCAGAGCTAAGCATCTTGACCAAGCTAACAGAGCTAGTTAGTGGCAGAGATCTAGTTAGAGAACTAGGACTTACGCTTGGACTGCTCTTAATCTTTTCTTCTCCACTGCTGCCTTTCTTCACCTGCCATCCAGACACAGAAGTTGCTGTGTCTACAGGGCTGGAGCCAAGAAAATTCTCTAATTAATTTCTTAATGTAGGATTTTAAAGCCACAGCATGAATAGCATGGAGTTTGGGCAGAAAGTCAAGGTCAGGCTTCTTTTTGCTTTCTTTTCTTTACTGACTGATCCTGAGCAGGTTTCTTTCCTGTGCATTTTTGGGTTTTTAAAACTTTTCTGCATACTATTTCCTATGAGGAAAAACTCTGATCATCCTAGAAGAGTCGCTGTCCAATCAGATGTTCTTTCGTTAGGTCCATGGAACTTTGAGGGCTGTGTGAAGAGTATTTCCATGTATATGCCCTTTATAATCTTACATATTTTATCTTATACATTCAATACATTTCTGTGAAGGAGGTCCTGAGCCTTCAACAGACTGCCAGACAGATCCATGACACAAAAATAGGGTAAAAATTCCAGAATCTAGAGCAGGTTGTGGGAAACTGCCAGGGTGGGAGAATTTTTAAGGATATAAAGACACTATGATGGAAGAGGATTATGGGATGGAGTATAGAAATAAACCTATAGATGTTCTTAGAACATTTTACCTTTATTAAAATGCTTAAAGTTGTTCACTAAATGAAGACACTAATAGCGTTTTGCCCATCTTAAATTAATAATGGATATGCAAGTATTGATTTCCAGTTATCATTCCATGTTCAGTAAGTACTCCCTCTGACTCTTACAAGACACTTGCAAAGTCACATTGCTTTATTGGAGATAACATGCATACTAAAAGGGCTCCCTTATCCAGTCTGCCAGATTTCCAGAGAGTCAGTGCATTTCTGACATGACTTCGAGTTTTTGACTCCTGTCTGCTACTTCTGAGGTCCTGTGTTGCATATTCTGTAAGCTCCTAGGACTCACCATGATCTCAGAGATGTAAAATAAGTTACATGTAGAGATTTAAAAAAAGTTAACGTCCCTTTATTTGTCCCCAGGCTTTACCACAGAAACTGCTGCTTGTCCTTCTTAGCTAATTATTTTATTTCCCTTTTGAATTTGAAACCTCAATTGTCTTGTTAAAATTGTTTCCAAATAAGAGTGCCTTACAGTTTTATATACTGAAAATAAAGATTCTTGTTTTTGCTAGGAAGTATACAAAAGTTATTTTGTGTTCAGGTCATGTTTTGAAATTTGAGCCATAACTTTGGTGGAGGTCACTACATTTTTTAAGAATATCTGCTTGAAAATCTGATGGTGATCTGTGACACCTTGCCTACCTTTGGTAAAAGGGTCACCCAAGCTGGTGAATGCCACCTTCTGGTACCTTTTTGAGTATTATGGACCAGAGTAATATTCTTGCTTTAGCAGAAGAATGAAGATTATCCTTCATCAGGAAGCTGTCAATTGAATTTATGTAATAAAAGAAAAAGTCAAATTTCTACATTCTAATCCCAGCACCCTACTGAGTTATTGTGAGATTTGAGGGGCATCATTGACTTCTCTTGAGTCTGTTTCCTTGTCTGGAACATAAGAGAATAGCGATCACTTAAATTCTTTCCATTTCCAAAATCCCTTGACTCTATGAAATCCTGTCTGGCACCTAGCCGAAACATAACCTAAAAATGCTGGCTAGTTGGAAATTAACTTATGGCCAGATAGTCAGTGCCGGGGTCATTCTTTGTATCTGCAAGTTACTTTGTGGTTTACTAAAATATTCTCTAATTCGTTATCTCTTTTCTTAAGGTGTGGTCAGAGAATAGCAGCATTAGTATCATCTGGGAGCTTGTTAGAAATGCAGAATCTGAGGCCTTGCTCAGGACCTACTGGATTGAAATTTGCATTTTATCAAGATGCCCAGGTGCTATGCATGCATATTAAAGTCTGAGAAGTGCTGCTGTGTCTCATTTTTAGTCTCACATTGACCCTGTCAGGGACGCAGAGTACTTTACAGCTAAGGAACCCAGGACACCAAAATGCAGTTGTTATGTAACTAAGCCGAGGTTACTGTGCCAGGGTCTCACTCAGGACTCCATTCTCTAAAACTAATGCTGTCATATTGGTTGGGCTGGACCCAGCTTTGTATGATGATAACAGCTAGGTGCCCAGCAGCCCATGCGCTTAGGTGTGGCTGTACAATAGAGTTCTAGCCAACTGAATGTGAGTGGAAGTGGGAAAGTGTGTGATCCACTTCTAGGAAAAAACTGCAGAAACAGAATGTCTGTGTGAGTTCCTCCATGCTGTTTTCTGCTCCTAGCTTGCTAGAATGGAGAAGACTCCTAGGGAAACTGTTCTAAAGATAACAGGACTTTGTCAGCTGGGGTGCCTGGGTCACTGCATCAGGGAGGACCTGACTGACCTGTTCACCGTTCAGTGTGGATACAGGAACCAGATATAAACTTGTATTGAGCTTGAGCCACTCAATACCCAATATGGGTTTGTGTTTGTGTTGAGCACTTAGTCTACTGTCACAGGTTCTCTTGAGCTGTGGCTTGGGACTTGAAGTTGTGGATCATTTGGCCTAATGCATTCACTCATTTCTCATCTTGGCAGTTGGTGATTGATCAGCCGTGGTTCAACATGCAGAGGTGAGTGAGTGGTGAAAAGCAGCAGAGCTGATGGGTCGTGAGGATGTAAGTGTGTTCGAAGGTTCTCACACCCTCTACTCCAGGGTAAGTCAAAGGCATTCTCTACCATTGATTTTCTGGTTTTACTATGTCATAGAGGCTCTTGTCTTACCAGCCTCTTGGAGTCATTGCAGTGGGGTGCCCTCTCTGTGAAAGGTTCCCGAAGCCTTTAGTGATTCAACTCACAGACAGCATGCAAATTAACAATTATGAAGAGAAAACTATGATCAGTGCAATGGGATAGAGTCTGCATGGAAATATCTCAATACAGAACTTTTAATGAATTTGTATGGGATGTGATTTACATGGGAGGAGTAGTTGGGTTTTCCTGAAAGATCTGCATTTTAGAGATGGGAAGCAAGCCTGATTGCCTTTTCCTGGTAGCCGTATCATCTTGTTATAAAGAAACAGCTTGCCAGAGAGTTGATGATTCCTGCTTTGGTGCATAACAGTACTAGCAAGCATGTGGTTCTGCCTGTTCCTTTATTTTATCCAGTGTCACTAGATGTCACATGTCCATTCACTCAGCTATGTGCAGTCCCTAGTGCAATGGATATGGGCAGTGGGAGCACTGTAATCAAAGCTGACTTTAGATTTTCATTTGTGCTGAAGATTTTTGAGACCAGAAGGAGACGTTCACTGTTTGATGTAGTACTTTTCTTGGAGTACTGGTGGAGGTCCAGGAAGGATGGGTGGACAGGACCTTTCTGAGCTGTCTAGCTTCTAGAGCTTAAACTAAAACCAGACTGCTTGAAAAGAAAATTATAATTAATGCAAATCTGAGGAAAGTGAAAAGATGGTTGGGAAAGAGGGACAAAAGGTGCTTTGTGGTTTTTTTTTTGAAGTGCTCAGCTGAAAAACAGCATAGAGGGTTATTTTAAGCAGCTCATTTCAGCACTGTGGAGCCCTTGCCAAAAAATGTCCCATCACCCAGGCTCAGACAGAGGGCACTTAGAAAAGCTGATGTTCTTTGCTGCCTCACATGGCTCGGTAATGAGTACAATTTACTGAACAAAATAGACATTTAGGGGCTGTAGATCTCTGGAGATTTCCATAAGCATACATCTTTACTGCTCCCAAATGAAACACATACTTAGTGATGAGCAAAGCAGAGAAAAGGCAATTGCAAAACATACCAACAACTGGAGTCCAGGTGAGCAGCCAGACACACAGACCATAGCTCAGGACCTGGTCTTTGCTAGGTTTTCTCATTAAAGGAGAGGAAGTGGACTTTGCTAGCTTTCCTTATTTTCCTTTGTGGCTTTCATTGATCTTTTTTAAAAGCAACTAAGAAGTATAGTGTGCCAGAAATAGCACTTGACTGACATGTTTATGTAAATGCTGGAAAGGATCAAATTATAGAGGAAGCCATTCTTTAACTATTGATTAGGGGGCCAAAGAAAAGCATATGAGAGATGCGAGAGGAGCCAGTATTCTCATTCTTGGCACTCTGGGTATTCTGAGCCTGGCAGTTCTTTGTGATGGGGGCTGTCCTGTGTGGTGCACCAGGTTTAGCAACATCCTCATCCTTGCCTCCACCCATGAGATGCCAGTAGCACTTCCCCCACAATCATGACAATCAGAAATGTCTCCAAACATGGTCAGGTGTCACCTGGAGGGAAAAATTGCCCCTGGTTGAGAACCACTGCTGAAGGGACACAGTGATTTAAACTTGCTCTGAGTTTCAGACTGTATTTTAATGCTTCTGAGTGTATTTTAATCATTTAGCCTCATTTTGCTAGTTTCCCTACCTGTAAATAGCAGGCACAGCATTAATAGCTCATAGCCTAAGGAAGTGATGTATGTAGTACTGTGTGACTACCTGGGAGCTCTGTAGATGCTAGGAAACAATACCTGTCTCCCCAAGTTTCTGGGACCCAAGGGTCATGTTTAATTCTTGTGAAGGCAATAACTGGGGAACATTTGGAGTTTGAAGAAGGGCAAGGAGTTGTTGGGATGAGAAATAATGAATAGTACTGGATTCTGGTTTTATTTGAAGGTGTCATGTTCTAGTTCATTGCAATAGTATGTTCTGAATGAAGGCTTAAAGGAGAGAGTGAAGGAGGTAGAAGGAAGGCTGTTCAGAAGAGCAGTCAAGGAGATTGCTTGTATGTGGTCTCTTAATGGTGAAACAACTCACGTGTAATTAGACCAAAGGACATAAAGAAGTAGACCTAGACCTGAAGAAATTTCATTATTTTCATAGAAAGTCTCAGTTTGACTCTAAGGTGCCATTGCAGGGATTAGATGTAAACTGTCCTGGCAGGTTTGAGTTCAGCCTTGCTGTGTTTCTGCTCCCTGTAATTACTCAACACATTCAGAAAATTTACAACAAATGTGCTCTCTCTTGGGTCTAAAGTATGGAGAGGCCATCCAAGGCAGTTAGCCTTGTTTATGTCGTGTCATACATTATTGTGATAGGCTTTAAACAAAACTTGTGAGACTGTTTGAGAGGGAGTCTATGCACCCTGAAGGAAAGCACACTTCAGTGTAGCAGAGCGGGGACACATGCAAGAAACCCCACTCTGCAGAGGGCGGCTGGTGTGTGCAGAGTTCCTATTCTAGTGCTGCTCAGTGCAGCCCTGGGCTGGATGCAGAACCACTGAGTCCTTGTCCAAGTGTTCAGACCTCCTGAGTCTGAATCTCCAGGAATGGGGCTGAGCTGGTTTAACAAGACCTCCAGGTAATTCTGATGGATGCCAGAGTTTGAGAAGCTCTGCTCTCCTGGTTGCTGATGCTTGTGAATTGTCTGTATGTTTATGGTGGGGAGGGCACTGGGAAAGTATGTTTCAGGTGGCCAGAAGATATATAAGACATTCTTATGGTAGATCATTTCCCCAAACCATGATTTCAGCCTTTTTCTACCCTGTCAAATACTGTAGCCACTAGCCACATGTATCTATTTTATTTAAATTTCTTTCAGAGAATTAGAAATTCAGTTCTTCATTTGTACTAGCCACGTTTCAAGTGCTCTCAGCCATATGTGGACAGTGGCTGTCATCCTGGACAGACAGAAAGACAGAGCATGTCCATAACCACAGGAAGTTCTGTTGGGCAGCACTGCTTTAGTCTGTAAGGACTGGGTTTGTTGGAAACCCACGTTGGTAGTGGTAATGTACTCTCCTAACAAGACCTCACCTCATTTAAAACAATTGTTTTTTGGACTTCTCCATCCTGGGGAGCTTTTCAGTCTGAGTGTGTCTTGCTGAACTTTCTACCTTGCTGTGGCACCTGTCTGTGGCAGGAAATGCCATGGCGCTCTGACAATCTAGTGCACTGCTTCTAAAATATTTACCCTTTCATCCAAGGCTGTTGAGCTGTCTCTTTGCATTTGCTCTCTCCATGTGCTGACCCTCAGTGGTGAAACTTGCTTGTGCAAGATGTCTCTTTGATCCCTCTCAGAGCTTAACAAAGAGTCGGGGAGAGGTGGCAAGAGACTTTTCACCTCCTCTTCTGCCAAGCCCCAGCATGGCTCAGAAAAGTGTTTCATAAGAAGGTATTAATTCATAAGCTTAACTTCTGAGGGAGTAATCTTCTGTAGAATTAGGCTCGAAGGCAAGTTTTCCAACAGACATATTAGACTGCAAATGTAGTAATTAAGCCCTTTAGCAACATGGAAGAATTTTCAGTTAATATAATCTATTAGTATTACCAATATTGCTCAGAAAGTATCATAATTAGATAAAATTGAAAAGATGTGGAAATAAAGACAATTTTTAAAAGATGTAATTTAAATCTAACTAAGCCTGAGATCCAAGGTAGAAGGAATGAGCATAAAGGGTTTGTGTCACCTGAGTATTGCTGGAGGTGAGAGGAGGGAGGTATACATGGCGTGGATCAGTCATGGAGATTGACTGCTGGACAGCATACCTGGCTGTTCACTTCTGATGGAGTGCACTGCTTGTTCTCATACTGCCCTCCTCTCTTCAGTTGGCCTTTCTTTCCTGCTCTTGTCTCTTGAATGTTAGAAGGGGTTCAGTGTTTCTCAGGGCAGTGCTGTCAGCATTTTGATAGAAAGGTACATCATCGTGTGGACTTTTCCTGTTCACTATAGAATGTTTAGCATCCCTGATCACTAAAGGCCCATATTACTCTAACCAAGTCATTGAGCCAACCAACATGTCCTCCCACATTTCCCAGTACCTGCGATTGAGAATCAGTATCTGCTAGGGAGATGGGTGGTGTCTTTGTATTGGGAGGAAGTAGTAATTAGAGTTGGGAAAAGTGCAGGTCCTTTCAGGAGCTGGTACATTCATTTTGTATATGACCTGACCTTTTCCTAGTGCTGCAATTTCTTTGGAAGCCAGTTTTATTCTGTAAGGACCGGAAGAGTCAGGTTTTAACGATGCAGAACTTGGCCCCCCTGAGCCTTGAATTCAAACCAGAAGTTACAACAGTGTATCTGTCAATGTCACAAGGGGTGGAGAGGCTACTAAAGCTCCCACGGGATGCTGGGTTTTCATTTGTGACTCACGTGGAAGTAAATTGTGTTCTACATGTGGCAGGAAGCTATTGGGAGGGGAAAAAATGCAACAAAGGCAATTTAAAGGCAGTCTAAGGGACATAGGCTTTGCCAGCCATTTCTTTTCTCTGTAATTGCAAATATTGGCAAAGTAGACCCTAAATTTGTGGTATTATGTTTATATAGGCTGTCTGATGGGAGATCTTGAGATTATTTCATAGTGAAGAGAAAAGGAACACTCTGAACATCTTACTGTGGGGCCCAAATAAACATCTTTGATCACCAAAACAAACTCATTCAAGTTACCTTAAGAAATACAAGGCTTAAGTAAGGATGTGTGAGAAAGAAAACAGAGTATCATAGTGGCAAGTTGGGGAGAATCCCAGGGCCTTTTAAGGATGAGAAAGTGCCATAGTCTGGCCATACTGAATGAAGATGGAACCTCACTCAGGGCGGGGTTGTTTGTTCCCAGTCTGTTGCGACTCTACGATGTATTAGCACTAACGGTGGTTGGTTAGTCTGTGTTACACTTCTCATCCATTCACATGGCCCAGCATTTCCATTTTGGCTTCTCTTCTCATGT